AAAAAAAAAAAACTGTTAGTCTATTCAGTGATTAGTTGATAAGTTTCTTCTGAATCCCCGAAATATAACCAGCATAAACAATATGTTAGTTATTTGTATTTTGCTTAATCGTATAGACCTCGAAAAAAAAAACCTATTGACAAACTGACTAAAGCTAAAAGAAAAAAATGAAAGAAAGAAACAGAAGAAAATAAAAAAAAAAAACAGTTAAATTAAAAAAGAAAGCAACTTTATCTTTGCCGTTAATTTGTGTTACGTGAATTACTACAGTTACAAATATCCATAAATTACAACGGATTACTTCTTGGCAGCACCCAGTAGTCCAACTTCCGATACGTGAATTTGCAATCAGTTTTTACCAACACAACGACCTCATACAAATATATACTTATATAAAATTTAAATCTATATTTAAAAAAAAAAAAAAAAGTTTTTGCTAATCGATCAGACGAATATATTAAAGTAAAACAAATTTTTCCCCCCCCCCCTTCCCCTCCCCCTCCATCCTATTATTGCTACCACTGTTGCTGCTATTATTCTTCAAAAAATTATCTATAAAAACTAGTGTAAAAAAAAAGATTGCAACTAAATGCTCAAAAAATTTGCTTAGCAACTCAGATATTCAAATATCAAATAATATTGTAATTTATTATTTGCAAATAAAGAACAGTATTACAACAACTTTTTTTTGATACATCAATTTTTTCACCTGCTGTTTTTTTTTTTTTTTAATCAAATTTTTCGACATTTTAATTTATCAAAAAAGAAAAAAAAAAAAACAAAAAAAGGAAAACCACTGTCTAAATTTGGAAACCTTTTTCCTTTCTTAAACTGTACAAATAAAATTACAATTATCTATACAACAATCATTTATATTATTTTTTCGTTTTTCACCTAATCAAAAAAAGTTTTTTTTTTTTGTGCTTCTTTTCCTCCCTCTTTTGCAGCAACATTTATATTACTAAATACTAAAGAAATTTTTTTTTTTTTTTTTATAATTCAACATAGAACTAATAAAATTAAAAAGGAAAACTTAATTAAATACTTCCTTTTTTTTTCCAGTCATTTTTGTGTTTTCATTACGAAAATTGTCAGTATCAGTTTCAAACCAGTTAATGTTCTAAAAGTTTAGATTAAAGCAAAAAAAGCAAAACTTCTTTAGTCATCTTTTTATTTAAAAATAATGTTGTTTTCAACTGATTAATAAAGAAGTTTTCAT